ATCTGTGAAGCAGGCAAGCCTCATGTTCACTTCAAGCTGCCTGGCTGCCGGCCGCCATCTTGGCTGGCTGTTAATTTGTATATCACCCTGATTGGCCAATGGGAAGGGTAGCGTAGGTACGGCTAATTACCATGTTTCTCTTTTATTAGATAGGATGCCTCCATGCTCCGAGGGTGGGTTCCTGCCTCAAACCCCGCCCTTACAGGAAACAGCTCTGGGAAACAGCTACGGGTGGGGGGGGGGGCGGGTTGGGAGTGCGCAGCCGTTGCCAAGACAACCCCTGCAAGACTGACTTCCTTCCACTTGGTCGCTGTGGTTCTGCATGTGATGAACACTACCCATGGTTTTTATATAAGTAGATAGTAAGAGCAAATAAGGAAATTTTGATAAAGTATTTTGAACTTGGGAGAGCAAAATTTTTATTATCTGCAGTTAGATGTGTTTATAAAGATGCACACAATTAATATGCTATATTACTTCCCCCCTTTTCCCTTACTTTTCTGGCTTCTTACTTTTTTTGTTGTCAGCAGGATTCAGTGCTATTTCTTGCCAGTCACTATTCTAAGTGTTCTCCATGCACATACTCATTTAACCCTTGCAACATTCCTCATGAATTAGGTTTTATCATCATCCCCATTTTATAGCTGAAGAAACTATGGTACAGAGGTTAAATAACTTGCAGAGCCAGGATTTGAGCACAGTCTGGCTGTGGAGTCCCTTATTATCCACTATGTTATATAGAGAGAAAAATGTAGGTTGAAGGTAGGAAATAGACAGTGAAATAATAAGTTGGAGGGAGGACAAAAAAGTCAGATGTGGCAGGGGAAGAAAAAGCAAAGAAAATAAGTGTGGAACGTTTCTTGTATGATAACAATGGAAAGAATAGGGAGAAAATTGATAGTTCCTTTAAGCAAGGGAAGAAAAGATACATTAGGGGAACAGAAGACAAAGCGGTAGGATTTCCTGGTAATTTGTGACTGCTTGGAATTGTAGTGTTAAGATGCAATATATTTAAGAGACAGATTTTGAACACAGACAAGTGTTAATTATGTTTAGTGATGGTGTCAGGGAAGGGTCTG